GGCGCTAGCTAAATCCCCTGGCAGGTCGATGTCCGGGGAACACCAGCCGCGCCCCTCCGGAGGGGCTCCCCCGGCTCGGGAGGGTTTCAGGCTGCCCCCAGACTCTTCCCGAGAAGCCCGAGGGGCGACTTTAATCCTCCCTCTGGGCTCTTCCCCCGCCCCCACCGAGGCAGGGCTTCCCGGCAGGGGGCACCCGGCTTCCTAGACCCAATTTCCTGTGCCCCCAGCACAGCCTGTCTGAACCCAGTGGGTGAATCAGCTTCAGCTGTCTCCTGCTTCTTGGCGTGGAAGCAACCTGGGGGTGGGGTGCGGGTGCTCCACCAGCTGCTCCAGCACCTCCCTGACCTTGTCTGCTGCTCGCCCCCGAGGGGGATTAGTGTCCAGGTTACCCCACCTTGCTGCCTGGCCAGTGGCCTTGCCACCCCCACAGCCTACAGGTATAAGACCAGGTAAACACGATAGGGAAGGAACTGAGGATGGAGCCGCTCCAGGTAAGTCAGTGGGGCCCCTGGGCGCCCCGCAACTCGAGTCCTGGGGCTTGGGCAACACGGTGTGGACTGCCAAAGGCAGGCTTTGGGCGGGAGGCAGGTGGGGCAGGGCCTGAGGGTGGGCATCGGGGGTTCTAAGGTGTCTGGGGTTCCTGGGGAAATCAAAGTGGCGGGTGGGCCCTCAACGCAAGGTCTCTGGCAGGGCCAGGTCAATGAATACAGGGGTCAGGGCTGAGGGCAGCGGTCTCAGGTGGGCTCTGAGGCACTGACCTTTCCCAGGGGTTGCTACTGTGGCTGCTGCTGAGCGTGGGTGGGGTGTGGGCATCCAGGGGGCCACTGCGGCCACTGTGCAGGCCCATCAACGCCACCCTGGCGGCAGAGAACGAGGCCTGCCCGGTCTGCATCACCTTCACCACCAGCATCTGCGCTGGCTACTGCTCCAGCAAGGTGAGCTGCCCCGGGGGGGAGGGCCAGCCCGCAGGCGGGGGATGGCACCGCCCGGCTCCAGGGTGGGTCACCAGGCCAGACCCTGGAAGCACAGGCGGGCGGCTGGGAGGGAAGGGGGGTGTGGCCCGGGCAGGGTGTCCCTGCTGGGCAGGCAGCGCCCAGGGCCTCTGGGAACCTGCGGGCGGCAGTGGGAGCGGGGTGGGCTGCCCCCGGCAGAGGCCCACCTGCCCACGCTCTGCAGATGCGGGTGCTGCGGGCCGCCCTGCCGCCCATGCCCCAGCCGGTGTGCACCTACCAAGAGCTGCGCTTCGCCTCCATCAGACTCCCCAACTGCCCACCTGGCGTGGACCCCACGGTCTCCTTCCCTGTGGCCCTCAGCTGTCACTGTGGACCCTGCCGCCTCAGCAGCTCCGACTGCGGGGGCCCCAGGGCCCAGCCCCTGGCCTGTGAACAGCCCCCTCTCCCGGGCCTGCTCTTCCTCTGAGGCCACCACCCACGGCTGCCCCGACTGCTGGGGGTGGCTGCTCCCCGCCTCCCCTCCAATAAAGGCTTCTGGCACTGCAGTCTGGGCTCGGCTGCCTGCACCGGGGCCCGTGTGCGCTTCTCTGACTCTCGCTCTCTCAGACACACAGTCACTCTCAGTGGATCCAGTTTCAGAATCATTTTATATAAAGTCACTCTGGTAGAAAACAGGGGAGGGCGGAGTGGGCGGGGGCGACATCGGCTCAGGAGGTGTCCATGGTTTCGCCTTCTGTGGGGAGAAGGAAGGCCACGTGGTCAGTGTGGCCCGCAGCGCAGGGCCTGAGCTTCCCCGGCCAGGGCCCTCCTGGGGGCGGGCGGCCTGGGCCGGGCGAGCAGGGACTCACTGAGCTCGTTGAAGAGGAAGGCGTCCTGGTACTCCTTCATGTACTGCGTGGAGCGGGACTCGTCCAGGAAGAGCGAGTAGACCCGTTTGATGTCATCCACCTGCACCTCTGTGCCCTGACGGGGGGCGGTGACACTCAGCGGGGCGTCCCCCGGGGCAGGGGACGTGGGGGCCAGACGGCTTGGGTCCAGATCCCGCCTCAGCCGCCTCCCGGGCCACCTCTCCAGCCCACAGTCTCCTCAATTCTAACACGCACAGATGTCCCGCCTGCGAGGGCCCCTGGGCCTGGGCCAGATGGATCAAAGCTCGCAAGCCGGCTGGGGCCTACCCAGCTGTCTGACCTTGCGTTTCCGGCACACCAGGCTGGCGGCCGTGATGAGCTGGATGGCGTAGCGTAGGGAGGTCTCCAGGCCGATGCGGGTCAGCACCGTGTAGGCGTCCTCGCTCATCTCCACGTCTTCCTCCTCACACCTGCGGGCAGGTGGGGAGGAGTTTCAGGCAGGGCCAGGCCGCAGCAGCAGAAACCCTGCCCTCCTCCTGGAGGCCGCGTGGGGCCTGCGTCCTCACATCACAGGACGCGGCGTCAGAAGGACACTGAGGTGTGGGCCGGGCCACCAACCTCCCCGACTCCCGGCCCAGCCCCCGCCACACAGGCCGCCCGGCCGCCCCAGGCCCGCACCGGATGCGCAGAATCTGCTTCGTGTCCTTCTCACTGTAGGGCGTGGTGGAGACGATGAGCAGGCGGTCCAGCAGGTCGATGGGGATGCCGTGGGGGCTCTGGTAGCTGGTGCCCCGGATGCTGAGGGGGCGCAGGGAGGCTGTCGGGGGATACCCCAGGAAGGCAGCTCCCGCTTCCTCTGTGAGCACCCGCCCACACGCCACTTAACCTTCAGCTCACGGCTGGCGTCACTGCCCGCCCGCGCGGGCTGTCCCGGCCCCTGCGTCACCGCGCGTGGAGCCGGCCGGCTTGGCCAGGAGTCACATCAGGGATTACAGGCCCCAGGCCCCACCCCTGCCGGACACCAAGCTCCACCCGGCAAGGGCAGTGCCGGTCAGCTGTGGCCACACCTGCTCCAGCACGGGGCAGCCCGCAGGACACGGTGGCTGCCATCACCCCTGGAGCCCGTTCTCGAAGGGCTCACACCGGGAGCGAACGAGAACCACTGCTCCTGGGGAAATGCACCTTCAGGCTCCGGAGCTCCTTGGGTCACGGTCATCTTGTCAGTACATGACCTGGCTCCGTGTGCTGGACTACCGACGGCTTAACAGAGTCGCCTGTCTACCCTGAAGGCATGGCCAGCTGCCCGATATCGGGGTGGGGGTGCAGCACTGCACACACGACACTGGGCACCCCGTGCTCCCAAGTATCTCACAGAGCCCTCGTGTCTTCTGTAGCACCGGGGGGCTTGGGCAGTTAGGTGACTGCAGCCTTAGGCGCTCTGTGGACAGCGTGGCCGGCCCTGAAGATCGGGCCCTGGTCTACCCGGCTGAAGGGCAAAGCACCATCCTGTGTGGGCCCCCGCCCTGCCCGACGTGGTGCTCACGACAAGCTCTGCTTCCTGGTGGCAGGCCGCCACCCAGCACGCTCCCCCAGGGGCCCGTGCGGCGCAGCTCACCGGGTGATGCCGCGGTTGGTGGCCATGATGAGGACGGGTGCCATGTCACTCTCCAGAGCCCGGTTGAGGAAGGAGAAGCTCTCGATGTCCAGCATGTGGACCTCATCGATGAAAAGCACCTGGGAGCCACGAGGGGGTGTGTCAGACGCCACACCGCGCCCCTCTCCCCAGCCACCCGTGGGTGATACTCACCCCAGGGATAATCTCGGCTTTGCCCTCCTCACGCCACTCGGCCACCTTGGCATTGATCTGCTCTCGGACTTCTGACTTGATCTCACCTGTGTCACCTGCAGGGGTGGGGTGTGGGCATCAGAGGACCCAGGCCGGAAGGTGGGCAGAGACAGACAATGATGGGATACCGGGCAAGTGGACAGAGAGGCCAAGAGTGGAGCGCTAAGTGGACAGGAGGGCCAGGGAGACTGCAGTGACCCTCCAGGGGTTAGAGAGAGAACCCACAGGGGAGGGGCAGAACACACCCCCTCAGCTCTCCTGAGTGGCCCGAGACAACACTGAGTGGGGGTGTGGACAAGCTGTACCCAGGAGACAGGACAGACAGCTGGCACGGCCTGGGGGGGGGGGTTGGCCATGGGCACGGGACGGGGGAGGCACAGGAGCAGGGCAAGTCTCACCAGAGAAAAGCGCCAGGAAGCCCTGCGTGCGGGAGTTGATGACGTCGATCTCGTGCAGGGACACGGTGTGTACCACCTCCTTGCGCTTCTGGAGCTCCCCGTCCGGGCACTGCACGAACTTGGTCTGCAGAGTGGGTTGGACACGAAGGGGCGTCAAGGGTGGGGAGACCACTGCGAGCTAGTCTGGGAGGTTTGGGGCTCTCTGAAATGGAGAGTCTGGACGGGGTCATGCAGAAGCCCCAGGCCTGAGAGGTAGTCAGGACCGGGGTGGTCGAGTCCTGCAAGAGGTGGGGGCCCCTGGAGACTCAGAAACCCCGAGCAAAGCACCAAATTCAGGGTCCCCAGCTGCGCAAGGTGGTAGAGAGAGCTGGGAACACCAGAACCAGACCCTGAGGGCCGTGGGGGTCATGCACGAGACGGCAGCACCCTGGGGCCCGGGGACACCCCAGGGCAGGCCCACCTGGGAACCCATGGCGTCATAGTCCCGGGCCCGTGTGAAGGAACGGCCCAGCTTGGAGATCTTGCCTGTGGCCTTGTCGATGGTGATCACATCCCTGCAGGGAGGGAGGGCGGGAGTGAGCAAGAGGCTGCAGCCCCCGAGCCTGGCCACCCGACACGGCCCCATTGCTTACCCGGCCTGGACCTTGTCCTTGGTCAGGGACTCGATCATCTTTGTGCCCAGGTCGTAGATGGTCTCCATCTCCGTGGTCTTGAGGGTTAGCTTGCCCACCTTGGAGCCCTGAGGTCGGGGACAGGACAAGGAAGCGCTCAGAAGGCCCCAGTGACTCCCTGAGGTAGCTTCAAAAGGGGCAGGGAAGCTCTGAGAGGAAGACTGTCCCTGTCGTGACAGGAGCTGCCTGGAGACACAGTCGTGTGTCACCCACTGAAGGTCATGGGCACCCCCAGAAAGCCATTAATGAAAAGCACAAGAGATAAGAGAATGCCTAAGAGAGAAAGCACCGCCCCCATGCCCAATGGGGGTGACACTCTTAACATTCACGCCTTCTTATACCCAAATACAAGGTGTTTTGTTTTTGTTGATCGTCAAACTAGGAAACAGACCCAAGCTAAATACAGCCAAGAAAACAAAAGTGCCCCGCCTTGGCGCCGGATAAGCAGCGGCGTTTCCAGGCTCGTCCCGGCAGCTCCAGGGATCTGTCCTCCCCTGCACCGCTTCCTGGGTGAGTCACCCCTTGTGTGGGGCAAGTGGCAGGGGAAAGGGCTGGAGTGACGGGGCTTGGGATTTGTATTTTACTCTTTTGGGGTAGCCCCCCTGTAGAGACAACCCCCCTCGACCGTCAACATTCAACAGTGCCACAGAAGGCTGCTGACAAAGATGGAGAGTGAAGCGGCCTCCCTGGTGGCGCAGCAGGTGAAGCCCAGAACTGTGAAGCCACCTGCAGCCACTGCAGCGCGAGTTCGATCCCCAGCCAGGGAGGTGACCCACAGGGCGCAGCAGACCTCTCCTGTCTTCCCGCTGCTCCCCTCAGCAGTGTATTTCACCAGACTGCCTGCTCTGCTCCACACTCTGTCCCTTGTGAATCCTCTCACCCCCTGCACCTCTGGCCTGTACCCCAGTTCTGAATGCATAAATAAATAACTCTTAAAAAAAAAAGAATGCATGGCTGAGGGATAAAACTCTAAAGAAAAGCGACAGTGGTGGTGGGGAGGTTTGGAGTGTTGGAGGAGGAGGCATCTGTTTTATCCTTGGATGACACACTTATTTGAGCTGTTTCTTTGTATCTGTTTCTTTACAACAAAAAAAGATTAAAGACATTCTTAGTCTGAAAAAAAAGAGCTAATCACAGGATCACGTTCAGCTGGAGGGAACCACCTTTCAGGGCTAAGCTGTATAAATCCCACAAAACAGGTTTTTAAGTCAAACTGTAAGGAATTAACTATGAGAATCTTCCAGATCCACTTTCTCATCATTCCAACACTTGACTTCCCCTGCTCAGTCCGCCCTAAGGACAGGTGCCCCCCCCCCCCCAGCAGAGCCCTACCATGGGCAAGCAGATGGTGTCAATCTGCACCTGGAAAGTTCCACGGGGTTCTGACCTCACTGTGGACCCGGCGCTCCCACCCTCCCGTCCAGGCCACCGCCTAGACTCAGGAGCAGACTCACCGTGCCTGTTGCTGGCCGGTCAATCTGGATCTCCACCACCTCCCCTTCGATGATCTCTGTCTCCTCCCTATCCGAGAACAGAGAGCAGAGGCCCGGAGGGCCGCTGAGTCCCGTGAGCCCGCACGCACAGCCCCAGCTGCCACCACGGGACTGTCCCCAGGCGGCTGGGCGCTGGCACCACACCTGGCGCCTGGTCCGCGCTTACTTAATCCGAACGCCGATGGACCGCCGGAAGGCCTGCGTCAGCGCCTCCGTCTTGCTCATCTCCAGGGAGAAGATCTCGCTGCCGGCGATGGCTGTGAACGGCGTGTCAGGGCCCAGGGCCTGTGCCATGCCTGGGGAGGAGGGCTCAGGTGGGTGGGGTGGCCCTTGTAGTAGGTCCCTGACATCAACACTGTGGCACCCCAGGTGTCCTCCTTCCTCAGGCGGGAGAGAAGCCCAGGGGCGAGGCCTGCACAGGAGGCCAGATCAGAAGCGCACACTGCCCGCCTGTCTCCCAGCCTCGAAGGGCTGTCTGGCCTTGGGGCGTGGGGGTGCTGAGCAGGGAGGCGTGGGGTCCAAGGGGCTGAGAAGAACTAGGAAAGACAGCTCTGGAGTCCAACTGCCTCAGTCTGAATCGCAGCTCTGTCACTCAGCCAGCACCTGACCAGAGCAGCGACGGGACGAGCTTACTTTCAGGCCTGGGACGTGGGGTCGGGGAGCGGGAGGGACTGCTCACGCAACTACTGAGTACAGAGCTCGTCTTTCAGAAGGTTCTGCTGAGCTCTGAGTCAAGACCCCCAGAACCCTCCTGACCAGGGAATTCTTCCGTGCTCCCGATGACCCGTCCAGACACCCAGTCTCAGCCCAGGGCGGAATGACCTGGGAAGCCTCTCCTCACAGCTGCTACCACATTCCTCCACTGCTCCCCCTCTGCTCCCCCACTGGGTCAGGAGCCTTGTCTGTTCCTCACAGGACAGGACACAGCATCCTAAAACAGTCCATGGCCACCCCTGCAACGGACGCTCCAGAAACATCTACGAGAACTGTGTCGGGTCCAGGGTCTGCCACGCTGGAGCACCCGAATAAGAGCTACTTTCCTGTCAGTCTCGCTGCCTGGGCCCTCCACTGAGCACAGGTGGGAGTGAGCGGGACGGGAGGGGAAGCTCGGCGAGGGAGCCGCCCGCCTCCGGAGGGTGAGGGAGCGGCGTGCGCCACAGCCTGCAAGCGGCTGGTGCGTTACAGGAGGCTGCTGTCTGTCTATTCAACGCTCAGCTTCGCCTTCGCTGTTATTTTTCCATAGCCCCAAGTCAATTCAGCAGCAACGACCCAATATAACACTCCTTTCTCCCTCCTACGTGGAGGATGGGCGTGAAGGCTGGAGCTTAAGCAACGCTCTGAGAACAGGGGGTGACCCTGACCTGGAACAAGTACAGAGGCCAGGAGGCAGGTGGGCGGGAGACCACGCAGGTGCTGGGACGGCCCACCTGCCGTGCGGACGCCCGCTGTCTGCGAGCTTGGCCGCACTGACTTGGGGGCGCCCGCCCGAGGCCGCTTACCCATGGCGATGGCCGTCTTCCCGGTGCCGGGCTGGCCTGCGATGAGGACGGCCCGCCCAGCGATCTTCCCTTCCCGGATCATCTCCAGCACCACACCGGCCGCCCGCCGGGCCGCCAGCTGCCCCACCATGCCCTGGGAAGCCTGCGGGGTGGGAGGCAAGGAGCACACGCTGTTACCGCCGGGGCGACCACTGCTTCTTACCTTCCAGCTGGCGAGGTGAAAGCGGACGCTGTAGGCTGGGGCTCTGAGGAAAAGCCAAAAGCCTTTCCTACCTCAGTATTTAAGACTGGTGACGCTCCACGTGACACGGGGCTCAGCTAAACTGTGTAGCCAAAGGTGTGCAAGACCCTAGCACAGCCCCCACACCGCCTGCAGCCTTGGGGGACCCCACCCACGGTCTACACGGAACAGCCACCCCAGCCCGTCTCCAGCTGCTCTACCTGCCGTGGCTCCAAGGCGTCATCCAGCCCCAGCCCGCGGATGTGGGAGTGAGCGCCTGCGTGCGGGGAAGAACCAGAAGACAGTTACTGGCCAGCTCGTGCCAGTGCATGGTCTGAGGTGAGCTTGACTTCCAAGTCCTGGTTTTCTCCTGGGCCCAAAGGGGCCCTGGACCCCAGGCTGACTGGGAGGGTGGCGAGACAAGGTAAATGCTCAGTGGAGGCTCCCGGAGCAGGACCAAGCGGACGGACACCCAGTTAAGGTAACTGCAGCTGGCCCTTGGCAGGGGGCTGGGGGCTGAGGGAGCAAGGTGGCTTTGTGTTTATGGTCTAACTGTAACCCTGAGATGCAGAAGTCTCAGCTCCTCTGTGCCCGGACAGCTTCTGGGCTTTAGCAACGCCACAGACCCACGCTGACGCGGATGTGGGGAGTGGCTGGCAGGTCAGGTCACTGGTCTAGATCACAGGCCAAGACATGGGCTTCCAGGGCTTTATAGGAGAGCAGGGCTTAGCGAACACTAGCCAGGGCCAGCCCCTGGCTTCTGCAAATAAAGCTTTATTGGAACAGTCACACCCGTCCCTTACAGACTGTCCTCAGCTGCTGGGGCAACAGCGGGTTTTCCTCAGCAGAGATGCTTCACTCTCCGGCCTTTAAGAGGCATGTCAACCCCTGCAGCAGACTGTGAGCACAAGGGTCGGCTCTGGAGCAACTCGAGCCTACGTGGTCTTAGCTCCCCGCAGTACCTGGTCCGTTGACAGTGAAAACCTGGACCCGGCCTGTGCGTGCGAACTGCCTTATGCGGGTGACCAGATGGGATGGCCTATCAGCCGATGACTTTAACTGTCCTCAAGGCAAGCTGTCCCTCCACACACAGGTGGGAAGGGGCGCCTGCAGTGTGCGCCCGGAACCCCCGCTCACAGCCACAAAGCCCTTAGCTGCCTCTTAGGGAGGCACCGAATGGATGAGTGTGAACGAGAGGGGAGTTTCGTCCCTGCAAGGAAAGCTCTTTGCGAAGACAGCTCACGCCACCAAGCACCAGCTCCCAGAATTCATAGCTCACTCTCTGTGCAAGCCAGGCCCCGGATCTGACTGCTCCGAGTCTCGGCCATGTCAGCTAAAACCTGGATGGCGTCAATCCCTGTCTTGCGAGGTTACTTAGGACTCAGCGGGGCACAGCCTCATGTAGCTCATGGTTATCTACTGAGCATCTGCTCTGCCAGGTCCTGTGCTGGGTTACGGATGAGAAGACCCGCTGTCTGCCCGCAGGAGCTAATGCCTGTGTGTGCTGGGTACATGGGACATTCAGTTCAGAACTGACCACTAACAGTCGGCAGCAGCCACTTAAGTGACCTCCATATAGGAGGCCAGTACACCCAGAAATGCCTCGGCTAGTTAAGACAGTAGCACAGTGCTGGGTTGGGGTTTGATGAGGCCCCTGTATGTCATCTGACCCTGCTCTGGAACTCTGGGTGCTCCATGACAACGGGGAGCCAGTGGGCTGGCTGCCTTTGGGGATCCCGGGCAGGCGGGCTTTGTCAAGGGTGACCCAGGCTAGGGCTCCCCATCCACACTCACCAATCCGCTCAATCCTCGTCACATCCCGGATCTCTGGGACCTTGGTTGTGGCTGTCTGGGGGGGCAAAGATACATCAGAAGAGCCCTGTGGTCCCAGATGTCACCAAGTCCACCTCTGTCTCTCTGCCTGCTTCCATGACAAATCCTTCTACTCTTTTCCCACACAGGCACGCAAATGACAAGAGTCACTCCCACCCTTGTCTGTTGTCATCAACCAAGCAATTAGTTGCCTGACCCCATGAGAGTGTCCCCCAAAGACAAGATCTGTGTGTTTTAATCACAGCGGTTCTGTCTCCAGGATCTAGCACTTATTCGCGCCCAGGAATCTTTTGATAAAGAACTTTACCCTGCTCCCCATAACACAAAGAAGGCCTCCAGATGGACAGTCTGGCCCTGCATAGTCACCAGCCCCTTTAGTCATTTGGCCATAAGGCCTTTGCACGTGCTGGCCCCCAAGTCCAGCCTGTCCCCTCCCTCACTGAATTAGAGCCAAGTGTCACTCACTAAGGGAGGTCCTCCTCGACCTCTCTTTCTACAGGGCTAGTTCTAGGGTCTCTGGATGTCCAGGCAGAAGGGCCTCCCATGCAAATATGAAGGCCCCGTATAATTTGACATTCACAAGGGAGACAGTTACATCAGGTTCCCGGCTCAGTGGGTGTGTCTCTCATGCAGGTCCAGGACTAAATCTGACTTGTTCCCTCCAGGGCTCAAGGTTTGGGATTTGAATGAATGAGATCCTAAAGTTTGGGGCTCATTCAAAAAGCAGGTACAGAGGACTCCTGTGTCCTCAGGTCTCCTAGACAGGAGTCAGCTTCCCTCCCTTCTCATAAAAGAGAAGCTCTCAGAGCTTCCCTACCTCTCACCATGAATGCTAATAGCTGACAGCACAAATGTGGCCACAACCCAAAATGTACATCAACTGATGAGCGGGAAAACAAGATGTGGGCTATCCATACAATGGGATATTGCTCAGCCACAAAAAAGAAACGATGCACTGCTACATGCTACAAAACAGAGAAACTTGGAAAACCAGCTCCCAGCGTCCCTTCAATAAAGTAAAAGAAGCCAGACACAAAAGGTCGCAGTGTAGGGTTCCACTTATATAGAACACCCAGAACAGTCAAATCCATAGATTGGCGGTTGTCTGGGGCTGAAGGGAGATGGGAAATTGGAGGGGGACAACCAAGGCTCCTGGATGTCTTGGAACATAAGATAATAGACACTTCGCCAGAGTTTAGGGCAAAGGAGTGGGGATCTGGCTGTTGATTGTGCCCAGAAGATTGAAAGTTGGAGATTCCGTTACGGGGGTGGGGGTGGGATGGGATCTGATCAGTAAGCCGTGAATATCCACTTAAACCCCAGATACAGGAATAACCGGCCCCTTTTCTTCTCCCTCGGACCCCGAGTCCAGGCCCCCGGCCTCCCTCAGACCCGGGGGTCCAGGTCCCCTCCTCCCTCAGACCCCGAGTCCAGGCCCCCGGCCTCCCTCAGACCCGGGGGCCCGGGCCCTCAGCCTCCCCTCCGCTCAGTACAGGAGTCCAGACCCAGCCCGTCCTCCCTCAGCTTGGCAGTGCTGGTTCGTTCCTCAGCCCTCAGCATGCCGACACTTACCACGGTTGCCATGATGCTCAACAACCGCCAATATCCTAACGGAAACGGAAATGCGCTAGAAAGAAGCCGCTTTGGGCCACTCTAGCCTTTCAGGTCCTCCAACGAGCTCGGTGGTGCCTCATAAATATGCAAACAATCCTTGAGGGGGCGTGGCGTCCCTTTTTAGGTCCTGCCCACCCGTCGGGACTGCTGGAGTGCCCGGCGCTCCTGGGTCCCTTCCCGATGCCTCCTGACTCCTCCTCCTTTTACCCAGGCCTCCTTGCTGAGGCCGATTGCAAAATTCTAATCACTTCTAGGGCAACCACACGTCCCCCACGCTCCTTTTCCTACGCTCTTCCCTCCTACCAAGTTTGGGTAGCGTCAGACTGACAATACTGACAGCCAATCAGCTAGCGCTGTGGTAATCCCCGCCCCCTCTAGCTCGCCTCCACCACTAAAAGGCGGCGGACTGGCAGCACCAACCTACTCTACCCACCAATGAGCGGGCGTGGGAGCCCCGCCCCCGGGCGCGAACCAATAGCATTGGCCAGGGGGCGGTCACCGCCTCCTGGCGGCCGCAAGGTTTCACTGCAGGGGCCCCTCTGGGCTCAGTGACGCTGCGGCCACCTCCAGCCCCGGTCCGAACGCTCCGGGCGGGGTGCGATCGTGCAATAGGAAGCCAAGGGCGTTGCAAGCTTCCTGTCACGCACGGGCTACCTGGTTCCACGCCCTGCCCGGTGCATTTCCCCGACACCTCCGGGATCCCCACCTGTGGCCCCCGGAGCCCCTTTCTCGCGTCGGCCATGCCTCTAAATCGTACTTTGTCTGTGTCCTCACTGCCAGGACTGGAGGATTGGGAGGATGAATTCGACGTGGAGAACACAGTGCTCTTTGAGGTGGCCTGGGAGGTGGCCAACAAGGGTAAGCACCTGGCGGGGCACAGACAAGAAGGGCAGCCAAGGATGGGGCCCCAGGACTCTTGAGTAACAGGGGGACGGAGTTAAAAGGCATGACTCTTGGGTCCTGGGCAAGTAGCCTGTGACTCCTGTGTCCTTGGGGAGGGGCTGGGGTGTGTCTCCTGGGTCCCGGGAGAAGGGAATGAGTGGCCTATTAAGATAGAAGGAGGCTGGAAGCCCTGTTCCTGGGTCCTAGGGCTGAGGTGGCTAAAATGGAAGATTCCTAGGTTTGAGAGGGAGGTTTCCAGGAGATCAGAACAGGTCCTGGACAGGGAAGGAGAGGAGAGGGTAGCACTTCTCGCAAACCTAAAAAAGTGAGAGGGGGGAGGATCTAGAGATACAGCTTGGGAGAGAGCCCAGCGGGGATAGGATGCGTGAGGCCTCAAAGGAAAATCTGAGGGAGCTGGCAGGGGAGCTGGGAGACCCTAATTCATAGATCCTGGGTGAGAGAGGGTTGGGGTGTAGATGTCTAGGCTCTGGAGGCACCAAGAGCCTGGGCTGTTAGTCTAGGAGTGGAGGCCTGCGGTCTCAGACACTTGCGTACTGCAGGGAGGGAAGGCTGGGAAGTCCTAAATTGGTCAAGGGCTGGGTCCTGGGATGGGAGTGGCTGGGGGCCTGGATTTCTGTTTCTCAAGCACCACAGGGCCTGAGGTTCTGCATTCTGGGATGGCTGGGGCGGGAATCCCAGGAACTAGTCTGTGGGGAGGAAGGTGGGGTTTGCCTTCCCGGGTGTTGTAAGAGGAAGGGCCCATCTTACACCGAGGGAGGGGGTCTGCTAATACCGAGCTGGGTATCCTCAGGGCCCAGGCTCTAGGAGGTACGCAGGCTCGCCCCCCTCCCCCCATCTGTAGTGGAATCACAGGAGGGGCGGAGCCCTGCATTCCTGTGTCCCCAGTTGGGGAGAGGAGACTAGGGGACAGGTCAGCAGACTCCTTGGAGGACAAGGAGTGACAATTCCAGCTTTTTCTGGACAACTGTGGGAGGCTAAGTAGAGCCAGGAAGGGATGAGCCCTCACTGTGTACTAGTATCTGACTGAGAATTAACTCAGGTCCCGTAAACTGCGATCTCGGGGCCTGGGCACTGATAATCCTTGTCACTTCCAACATCCTAAGCCCCTCGTTCCCTCAGATCCAGGAGCCCAGGTCCGCGGTCTCTTCTCAGGCCTTGAAATCTATCCTGAGCCCCCTATTCCCTCCAACACTCAGCCTACCCCCACTCCCTCGCACCCAGGAGTACTGGGCTCCGAGCTCTGACTCGGAAGTCTGAGCTCCGGTCCCCATGTCCCCTAAGTCAGAGGTCGGGGCCCAGGGCCTCCCATCACCCCCTACTCTGCCCAGGTCCCAGCTGGGGCCCGCTCTCACATGCTTGGGTCCACAGTGGGTGGCATCTACACGGTGCTGCAGACGAAGGCGAAGGTGACAGGGGACGAGTGGGGCGACAACTACTACCTCGTGGGACCCTACACAGAGCAGGGCGTGAGGACCCAGGTGGAACTTCTCGAGCCCCCCACCCCGGCCCTGAAGAGGACGCTGGACTCCATGAACAGCAAGGGCTGCAAGGTGGGCTGTGGCCAGTGAGGGGCAGGGCAGTGGGTGCCTGGTGTTCAGGGTCCAAACGCCAGCCCAGGGTGGGAGAAGACGCCCCTGGGAAACTAGGTAGCAGGGACCTCGCCAGGCAGGCAGGCAGGAGGGAAGAGGAGCAGTCGAAGGCAGGACGCTGTGTGGAGGGTGGCGGACCCCAGCCTCTGAACATGGGCAAATGGAGAAAGAGCAGGTATAAGATAGACCAAGTGATGGGCCCAAGAAGCCACAGACCTGAGGCCCACACAGAGGAAGCCGCCAGCCAGGGAGAACCCAGGGAGGTGGAATGGGAGCGGGGCAGGCGGCCAGAGTGGGTTTCCAGAGCCAGAAGTTCAAGATTGGCTTCTCCGCTTCCTGCCCATGTGACCTTGGCTAATGGTGCCTACCTTAGGGGCTGCTGGGAGGGTGAGATATTGAATAAAGCCCTCAGTCCAGTTCCTGGCATAAAGTTGTGTGTGCGAGCTCTCACACCACCGTCCTCGTCGCTGTAATGGCCGAGCTTGCATCGTGTGGCAGTGAGGTGGATGGGGAGAGCCCGAGTGTTCTGAAAGATGGTGGCCCGGGACTAGAGCAAAAAGGGAGATGGATGGAGATCAGATACCAGAGGGGGGCTGCCCAGTGTCTCAGAGTGAAGGACGAACAAGGAGAGAGAAGAAGGAATGTTAATGAAGAGAGGAGGGGGTGGCAAGCTGACCCCGGGACACAGGATTCTGATGGACAGAGCTGGGAGTGAATGAAGCCTGGGGCGCCTGGCAGACCCCAGATCTGTCAGGTGAGCACACAGAAGTAGTGTCCACACCCAGGAGAAGGCTATGAGCAACTGGCATGAAGTCCAGGCCGGTTGGGGTCTGGGAGCGAGAGGGAGACAGGTTCATTCATTCACAGCCTGTAGTTTGGAGGCGTCGAGTCCAGTCAGGCTGGACTGTGTCCCCAAGGAACCCAAGGTCAGCCCTGCCCTCCCTCATGGCAGCTGTTCTCCACACCCTGGGGGCCTAAGAATAGGCCCCCCCAGGAAAAGGGCAGACAACAGCTGGGAGGGGGAGGGGTCAGGCTCCCGGGCAGGAAAAAGCCAGGTGGGGAGGAGTGTGACTGAGGGCTGGCTGCGCGGTGGCAGCAGGCCCAGACCTAGACCACGGCGCAGGAGGAAAGGAGCAGCGGTTGAGACAGGCGGCGCGGCTCAGCAGCCGGCGCAGAAATGCATGTGCAAGGGCCCGGGGCAGTCGGCCACGGGCTGCAGAGTGTGATGAGCCTGAGGAGGGGGAAGCAAGTAGGGACCAAAGGGACAGAAACGAGGTGGCGGGTGGCAGACACAAGGCTCTGGGAACAGCTTTGTGACAGAACACGCCCATGGAAGGAATTCGGGGGAGAGGGAAGCAGGAATAGAACCCAGGCGACAGAGATGGAAAGAGACAGGTGGGACCAGGTTACTACCAGCTAACAGAAATGCGGCGGTGGGTGGGAACAGCCCTGACGCAGGTCGCTCAGCCATGGGGTGGGAGGACCTGGGCCACAGTCCTGAGCATCCCTGTGGGCTTCCCCAGGTGTATTTCGGGCGCTGGTTGATCGAGGGGAGTCCTCTGGTGGTGCTCCTGGACGTGGGGGCCTCCGCCTGGGCCCTGGAGCGCTGGAAGGGAGAACTCTGGGACACCTGCAACATTGGGGTGCCCTGGTACGACCGTGAGGCCAACGACGCTGTGCTTTTCGGCTTCCTCACCACCTGGTTCCTGGGTGAGGTAGGCCGCTGCTGGCCCCTGGGCCACTCCTTTGCACCTCAGGCCCAAAACTACATCAGCCCCGGGGCAGGAAGTGGTCATGGTGGGGGGCCGGAAGAGGGCCATGAGCTCCTCCCAGGGTGTTTTGGGAGTTGTTGGCCCAAGAATTAGCTTGGGCCATTGGGAACATGGACATTCAGGGGCCCAGACCCTTCTTCCCTCCCAAACTCCAAAGCCCGGCTGCCTTTACTCGTCTCCAGTACAGGAATTCTGAGCCTTTAGCCTGGCCAGGCACCAGGCTGGCCTGGCTGCAGGACTCACTCCCCTGGAATTTTGGGATTGCCTGGACTTAACTCAGAGAGGGGCCTGAATATTTGGGAATCCTCAGCCTACCTGAAAACCAGCAGTACTGGTATTGACACCCCCCCTTCACCCCTCCTTTTAGGTTTAAAAAGTTTCAAGAAATTTCACTCCCAAGACGTGGTGGTTTACGACCTTGTTACTCCTGGTGCATCCTGGGAGTTGTAGTCCTTGGGCCAGAGCCAGGCACTGGGCTACCCTGGAATATTAAAGAGTCTCCAGGAACTGTGTTCAGGACTTGGTGACGCTAAAACTCCAGCCTTCCCAGTCCAGCCCTGTTGGGACTTAGCAGGCTGGCCAAAATAGCCCAACTCCCATCGGCCTCAGGGGATGGGGTCAGCTCTCTGGCTGCCTCTGGCTTAGTCCTGAGGGCTATGATGTCCAGTTAGGGCGATAACTTCACCTCACCCCCTGCTTCCTTGTCCATGTTGGAGGGGGTTCATTGTCTTCATGGCCTGTTCTCTGTTGCCCCCCCAGTTCCTGGCCCAGAGTGAGGAGAAGCCACATGTGGTTGCTCACTTCCACGAGTGGTTAGCGGGCATCGGGCTCTGCCTGTGCCGGGCTCGTCGGCTGCCCGTGGCTACCATCTTCACCACCCACGCCACACTGTTGGGACGGTACCTATGTGCTGGTGCCGTGGACTTCTACAACAACTTGGAGAGGGTGAGCTGGG